TTTTAAAGTGGTTTACGTCGTATTTATCCAATCGTAAACAAAGAGTTGCTGTCGATGGTGCCCTATCATCCTGGTCTCCCGTTAAATCAGGAGTTCCACAAGGATCAATTTTAGGTCCTTTGATGTTTCTGCTGTATATTAATGACATGCCAGACTGTGTAAGTCCTGAGACTAGGGTTGCCTTGTTTGCAGATGATTCTAAATGCATCAGAGAAATCAGAAACACGCAAGACTGTTCACAGCTGCAGTGCAACATAGAAAACATCTTGGATTGGAGCTGTAAATGGGATATGAGATTTAACGCTGGTAAATGTAAACTATTGAGCGTTACAAGGAAGTGAATTCCCATTCTTCATCATTATACAATGAATGGTGATTTAATTGAAAAAGTCGACTGCATGCGTGATCTTGGGATTGTGGTGTCATCAAATTTATCATGGGATGCACATGCAAATGTCTTGGTCAGTAAAGCAAATCGCATGCTTGGATTAATTCAAAGAACTTGCAGTCACTCGTGTTCAGTTCAAACAAAACGAAAACTGTATATTTCGCTTATAAGACCACTTTTAGAATACTCCACCCAATCTTGGGCCGTTTCATCAAAAAAATCTCTCCTTCATATTGAAGGTGTGCAATGGAGAGCCACTAAGTACATTCTTGGTTATAATGATTGTGTCGGAAGCAATTACAAAGCCTGACTAATGAAGCTTGATCTTTTACCGCTGGGCTACAGACGTGATATATTTGATTGTGTATTCTTATGCAAATGCTTGAAGGGGGAATATGACATCAACTACAACCATTTTCTTTCATTTCAGAATGAGGATACATTTTTAATGAAAATTCCAAAATTTAGGACTGAAACTTTTCGCCATTCTTATTTTAACAGATTTTATTTGTGGAACGCTAGTCACCTCAATCAAATTTGTGATACTACAGCTGCTTTTAAATCGAAGCTATTTCATTTTTATACAGAAAAGTTTAACAACTATTTTTCTTCTGATAATTCCTGTACATGGGTTGGCAAATGTCATTGTTCACGTTGCCATCTGTCCCTCTGATGTTACTTACACTTGCTAGTATACGGTCTTATTTTATTATTATTTTTTTTTCTTCTCTTTGTTCAATTGTCTGTACATGTTGTGGGATGATTGCCTCACAGTAGGTGCCTTGCCACCTGTGCGATCATTTCCTGACTTCTGTCAAAGCTTAATAAATAAATAAATAAATAAATAAATAAATAAATAAATGATGAAGAAGTTTGTGTTGGTTGTGATAGAAAGGTGACAGAACACCCAGTGCATCAGAGTTTATTGTGTATGGGACAGGGTAGCAGCAGATCGGTCAAAGTGCCCACGCTAATGCCTGTTCACCACTGAAAGCGCTAATAATGGGAACATCAGCATCACAACTGGACCATAGAGCAACAGAAGAAGGTGGCTTGGTCTGCTGAATCACATTTGGCTTTACGTCATGTGGATGGCTGGGTGCGTGTACGTCGCTAACCTGGGGAAGGCATGGCACCAGGATACACGATGATGAGAAGGCAAGCCAGTGGAGGCAGTGTGATGCTTTGGGCAACGTTCTGCTGGGAAACGTTGGATCCTGCCATTCATGTGGATGTTACTTTGACTCCTACCACCTACTCAAACATTAATGCAGACCAAGCGCACCCCTTCATGGAAACAGAATTCCCTAATGGCAGTGGCCTCTTTCAGCGGGATAATGTCAATCAATCAATAAATCAATAAATCAATCTTTATTTATAAAATACTTTTCATACAATAAAATGTAGCACAAAGTGCTTAACATATTAAAATCAGAATCCACCCATCACCACCCCAACCCCCCACCCCTATTCCTTGTTCACAAAATTGCTTGTGTGCGTTAGTGTAAGTTGGAATATAAAAAGAATAAGACAAATACTAAAACTGAGCGCGGGGGAACCAGAGGAAACACTATCACAGGGAGCCTTCTGCGTCGGGAGGCTGGTGCCACCTCCAGGAAAGTGGCCGCTGACACGGAGTAACATCCCAACCCCAGGCAGGGGGAGGGACCGAACAACACCCCCATAAGGCGATGGTATGGACCTCCCACCCCGCCAGGGGGGACCAGACCCCAAATCAGCGCCGCAGCAGCCAGGGCCAACAGCCGGCTCCGATGCAGAGGGCTCTCACTGAGGAAACACTGGAGTTAAAAACTAAGTTAAAATAAATAACATAAAATAATAAGATACAAAATTTAAAGGAAATAAATAAATTAATAAATGCAAATAATAAATAAATAAATGAGTTAAAATGAATGCAGCAGAAAAGGTAGAAGACACCACAAAGTAGGCCTATAGCGGTAATAAAAAGAACAAGGCTAACCAATAAACTAATAATAAATAAATTAAAATCAGTAAAATTGAGGAAAGGGATGATAGTTAAAAGCCAAATTATAAAGGTGGGTCTTGAGCCTGCTTTTAAGTCTCAATATTCTCTGCGGCCCTCAGGTTCTCCGGCAGGCTGTTCCATAAACGTGGGGCATACTGCTGGAAAGCTGCCTCACCATATGTTTTCGTGTTAGTTCTGGGAATGACCAAAAAGGCCGGTGCCGGAGGACCTCAGGGTCCGCAAGGGTTCATGAGATAAAAATCTGACAGATAAGAAGGTGCCCTTCCTCACTGCAAAAATGGTTCAGGCATGAATAGAGGAACACAGCAATGAATTTAAGGATTAGACTTGGCCTCCAAATCCCCCCCTTAATGCAGTCAGTGTAATTCAGCATCTGTGGGGTGTGCTGGACAAACACGCCCGATCCATGGAGGCCCCACCTTGCATCTTACAGGACTTAAAGGATCTGCTGCTGATCTCTTAGTGGTAGATACCACAGCACACCTTCAGAGGTCTAGAGGAGTCCATTGCTTGACAGGTCAGGGCTGTTTTGAAGGTAATCTAGGTCAATATTGTTGCTTAGACTTCTACAGGGGAGATGTCACTATGCATATTTTGTGTGGAAGTACTAAGTCTTTTTCCATCTGAGGGAAATAAAGTTCTTCAATGCTGGCATCATGGGATTTTCTTTGGCGTGCCACCAGAATGCGAATATGTTTAAATTGTTTTTAGGCTTAACAAACCATATTGAACATTGGTGCAAAACAACTTCACATATATGCCTAGCTAAGATATACGCACCCTCTCATGAGCTACAGGAAATCTGAGGTTTCAAAAGACAGACTTTTTATGTCATCACTAATGTATAGTAAAAAAAAAAATGTCTAACTTTATGATGCAACAAAAAATAAGGTCCGCTGAAAACAAATCAGCCAGTCACTCCACTGATTAGTCTTGGCTACAGAGTGAATTAATGTTTGGTGGATAATTTGGAAAAGTAAATGGGAACACGCTTGGAGTAATCCATCGTTTAGGTATGGCTTCTGAAGGAACGTCACTGAAAATCCCAGGTTTGAAGCAGGTAATCTAGGTCAATATTATTGCTGAGACTTCTACAGGGGAGATGTCACTGCGCATATTTTGTGTGGAAGTCCTCAGTCTTTCAACCTCTAAGGGAAAAAAAACTGCATGTGGCATGCTTTTGAGCGTGACATGAGCTATGGCTACTTTAGCACTTGCTCAAAGTTCTCCTGAAAAACAAAAGCATCCAGCAGCCAGGCCAACTACTTGTGACATGATTACCGTAGTTGCCAGTAAGCATGTAGATATTACAGCATTTGCAAATGCAGTACCCAAAATTTTTTCTTGTGAATCATGCCACATGTATTGTGATCATTTCAGGTGCATTAGAGAAGGGCTATTATTTATGTTAGTCACCCTATTAATGCTGTTAATTCTGGTGCTGTAGCGCCACCAGAAAGGCAAACTTTAATGTTCAAAAATTTAAATAACTAACAACTTTAATGAGAATCGAGTCAAATCTGCTTTCAACATTCCCAGTGCATGGAGGAGGAAGTTCTTGATTGTAGTTGCTTTGCATAGTTTCCTGTAGCACCACCATTTGGGCAAATTTTACATAATTAAATGAAATAACTCACATTTTTGTTCGAAGTCACTTCCTGGTCATCACGAATTCAGAACTCAGGAGTTGCACAGAGATCACAGACAAAGGCATGAGGGCATATTTAATTAACATAAGCTTGGAGTTACATTAATCACAAACAAAGAGGATAGTCAGAAGACTGTCCAAGGTCAGGTGGGAGTGAACTGTAACACTAAGGGTCTGGTTAGGCCTAATAGGAGAGACTGGTCCAAAGTGAGTAGCAGGGGTGACAGCTGAAAGTATCATGAAACATGGGGCAGATGAACTCACTTGAGTTGGACAAAGAACGAACTGGGAGGAGCGCCACTAGCCAGGACTGTGACTCTTGAAGGAGAATCCCAAATAAATAGATACTTTGCAGCTAGAGTTTAATTGTCAAAAACAGAGGACAACAGTCCAGCAAAGGGGAGACAAAAACCAGAAACTTTAATTCACAAAGACAACAATTAACAAAGTGGTAATGAGTGTGCAAAGCACGAGCAGGAAACATAAGGGGAGAGGTAATGATTGAGACAATAATTGAATAACAAGAAATAGCATAATCAAAACTGACACAGATGGCTAGACTGAGAGTAAAACAATTATGCAACATTCAGGACATGACACTGGTGTATTGAGTTGATGTTGACCACACTATGACATTTCCTGTAGCAACAGCACCTGACTATTCTTTTCAGTTTTAAAAATGCAGTAACTCAAACTGTTTTAATGGGATATATATTATATAATACAATCTGCTTACATACTGTTGAGCCATCATTCAGTGAAACTACATTTCCAAATCCAATCCGAAACATCTTGGTGCATAATAGCACAATCCTTTTGTTTTGAGATGAGGGGTTCAAATCCCGGTTCAACCTGAGAATTTTTTTGAGCAGCAGGGGCATAGTTCTTGTATAAATAATTGCTGGTTGATTGTTGTTTTTACTTTTTACTGTATCTTTGTGTGGCAGGCCGAGGGAGGGCCCAGGCGGGGGATTGAACCCCAAGCTCCTGAGTATGAGTCAAACGCGCTGGCCACATTGCCAAAGAGCCAGGCTCATTGGCAAGGTAGCCAGGGCGCGTACTTATTAGGAGGCATTTCTAGTGACGGGACCCTTCAACTGTCACAGTTGTATTAATAATTTTGTTTATTTACTTGTTTTATTGAAAATAAATCTGCTCCAGTGGAGTAAAACTTCATTTCCTTTGTGTGTATTTTCTTTGAATGTGGAAATATATACAGGACAGGTTGCAGTAAAAATAAATAAATAAATAAATAAATAAAATGGTTGTAATTAAATGGAATGTATGCCTGTGGTGACATATAAGTGAAATTAAATGAGTTTTGCTGTTTGGTACCTGAGAAATGTCAAATAGCACACAGTACCAATTTGGCTATGTCACCTAGACATTCTTGAAGTAAAACCTCTCTAATTTTGCTCTGATTTACTTGATTAGAACAAACTTTGGCACAGACAATGGTGAGATTCTGTGCTGTAATTTTTTTTTGAGCTTTCAGACTGAAGCTAAATAATTTCAAAAGGGATAAAAGTAAAATTTTGTCAGGTGCAAATGGAACACCGTATAAATGAAAGATCTCATCTTCATTTACTCTGACTCAGTGACATGAGACAATGACAGTGACATTTACACCATGGCAAAAATCCCCAAGATGTTACCTTTATTATGCTACCAAGATTATTCAAATACACCGGGTAGTTGCAGGGATATACTGATTTCATTTTGGGCATGTCATTTTTGAGCCAGAGGCTCAGGGCTTAAGAGTTTTTTAAAAATAGAAACTAGATATTCATTTTCTGAGGAAAATACATATGCTTGAAAGAATAGTTTATGCACCTTTGTTTAAAAAGCTAGTTTTGAAAGACAAGTTTGCCCTGCGATGAATTGGCGAGCTGTCCAGGGTGTGTTCCTGCCCTTTGCCGATAGTCAGTTCTGATAGGCTCCAGCTCCCTTGAGCCCAAGTGAGGAAGAAGCGGTATAGATAATGGATGGACTCAGCAGTTGACTGAGAATTTATTTTCATTCATTTATAATGTAATGTAATGTTATAAAAATAGCAGCTTTTCCACTGCTGTTTATGTCTCTTTAGGTCAGGCTTGTGTTACCTTACCACCTAAAGCGCACCCACATTCGCTCACAGGCATGTGCGCACACCCATATGCATGCGTGCATACACACACACACAAGCGCGCGCGCACACACATCATTATCAAAGGATACAAAATAACTGGAACATATGGGAGCTCGGTTCCATACACTAGCACTCTATATTTATCAAACATTCTGCACACAAAGAAAATCAAAACTGAGAAGAGCAGCTTAACTGAGAGCGTGTCTCCCCACACTGTATTTCCTGTAGAGCATTAGAGCAGTTAATTGCCATGTTTCATCCATGAAGGATAAGCACTGTACAACCTCATCTGTTTGCCTAGTTCTGCTCACCACAACACTGCACCACTTTCCGCCGGACAAATTTACCATCACATTTATCACCAAATAGTTACCTTTTTTCTTGCCAGGGAGAATACTTCATTCCATGGAAGACTGTTCATAATTCTTAAAAAAAAAATATACCACAATTCCAAAATAATCTTCGGAACAACTGTATTCATCCAGACAGCAATGTAAGAGCATCAATCATTGAATGAAATTAATTGTGCTGAAGAAAGTTTTTATATTATAGCATTGAACATTTGCATATAATGTTGATATGCCATCCAATATTTGTCCTGCTGTATATTATCTGTTTGAGCCTGTAATGATTGGCCGTCCTGTTCATGTTAGATATTGGCTTTAAGACACATTCTTCAAATCCCTTTATATTGGCAAACAAAGTTTAATTGAAGCATTATGGACTCAGAGCATTCTATTAATTGCAGAATATTAAAAAAATCTTTGATTAACTTAGAGAAAGGAGTAGCCTAATGCATAGAAGTGATCCATGTTGTATGATTGCCGATGAGATCAGAGAGTGTCATTTAAAATGTCGCAAGTTTCAGCATCCAAAAGAAAAAAAAACATAAGTTAAAATGATAAAGAAAGATGTGACTCAACAATGGAGATGATTGAATTAAATTAAAAGGGGAAAAAGAGAATTCAGTCACATTGAAACTGCATAGTGCGCTTTTCATTTTTGTGTGATCTCAAGTAGAACCATCCTCTGGAATGCATCTGAATCAATTGCATTTCTTTCACGTGGCAGATAGGGATATGCTTGATTGTAGATCTGAGAATGTGCGTAGAAAAGCTGGATTATAAATGTTGGACGGCAGAACATCCATCAGTTGCCATTGCCGTTGGCAAATAATTGGTCTTATTGGGAGAATGCTTTAGACTCCTGTGCAGCTGCCGGAAGACGTAGGCTGAATTTTCCACTTCATGTTTATCCAAACACTAAAGCCATTGGCAATTAATCCTAATGAAAAAGCTACTTTAAAAGATTAATCGGTTAGCTGAAGTAGAGCATGAACAGGAGTTCAAGTGTAATATATTTGTCACCCAGTTTCATCCCTTCCCCCTTCTAAAAAGCCTCTCAAGTGGAATGAGAAAACAAAGCCAGGGGAAATTCACAGTGTTGCACAATTAAACACACGGCAATCAATCTAAAAAATATAATTATGATAGATGATCAAGATAATCATGAAAGCAGATCAAGAAAATGGTTTTATCTAATAACACCGAGAGTGGTCCTGTGTTCTTGTGAAAATTGATGTGAGAAAAAAATATTCCAAAAAAGAAGGCCTATGCTCTGAAGTTAACCTAATTTACTACATACACTACTACATGGCGTTGAAGGTCAGCAGTAGAGCATTTCCACCGGATATTAAAAAGGGGGTAAAATTTGTCTTCATCTTTTGATGCAACTAATTTTTCTAATCCCCTGTCCACTCTTACTTAAATGGACTTAAATCAGTCGTAAATATGATTTTAGAAATTTTATTTTAATTTGCAAAATAGACGTTTGTAAGAAGCCCTAAAAGGCAAGATGAATTTTTTTTTTTTTTCCCCTGGCTATTTCAGGTAAAAACAAGGTTTATCTTGCGAAAAAAATATTATCCATAAGGACTTGGGAGCAGACAAGTTTCTGCTGAAGACGTATTTAATGCACACTCATAAAACCTTAGCACACAGGTACATGGCAGCAAGTTTTGATCTAAGTTTTAATCAAGAAGGGCCTGATAAAGATTTGGGTCAAAAAGCATTGTCATGTACCTGTGTGATTAAGCTTTATGACTGTGTATTAAATACATCTTTTGTTGCAACTTGGCAGCACGACTCGCTTCGGATTTCTTTCTTGCCCCTGAGTGCCTTTGTGTGTCCGATGTTGTGTTTGGCAAAGAAGAATACTGTATGTATAACATTTTTTTCAACTTCCCTTTCAGGGACCTCCAGAAAGACTTAAGCCTTTGTTGCATATTGTCCAATATTTTGGACATATTTCAAGTACAGTTTATGTTGTCTAGGCTCATAAATGCCTTGAAAACACATAATGTATATTTTTTGGACATTTCCAGTTCAGAATTTCCCCAATAGGTGCCTCTTTGATAAGTCACATGATTGATCACAAACAATCAAAATGACAATGTCCATGAGTAAGAGGTAAGTTGACGAAAGTCAGAAATATTCTCATATTGCTCAACTTTTGATGAAACTTTTACCTGTTGGAGGAATTAAATACTTTCATAGTGCACACAGAAACACATAAGCTTTATAATGCATGTCGGGCAAATGGCTCAAAATAGCCATGTCCAGAATACTGGACATCGTGCGTATGAATGACCGACTTTCTTCGACTTCATATTATTTCTGTCATCCCAAGAGCGTAATGCCAAAAATACTGGACAGCAGTATGCATCCCACAAGCACAATGTCCAAAATAATGGACAGAATGGCCACAAACTGGAACCCCACCCAAAAACAAAATTGCACCAAATCCCATCAAATGGTTCCTTAAGAACGTTGGATATCCAATTTTAACTTTTTGGAGGCATTTGCTCCAAAACTGTGTTAACTGTGGCAAAGGGAGCCATTTTTTTAATGCACTGAACCAAGTATCCTCCGTGAATTTTTTTGTTTGATACTCAGAAGATGACAGTTTAAATTTCATTTCTACTGGTCTCTTCCCATTTAGGTACCAAGAGTGTATGTTCTGCCACCTAAAATAGCCCCCAGTGTGTGTCTGTAGTCAAATGTGGCGACCTCCATGCATAAGCGTATTGAAAAACGGAGCAGCTCCCACTGGATTACAGGAATGTGCTAGGATAAGCTGTCTCCAGCTCTAGTATCTTGATGAAGAGGACAAGATTTTTAATAATTTCAGTGGATGCTAATTCTGGGTGAATATGAAGCTGCCACCCTCGGACTGCACATTATTTAGAGAGCTGGGCTATGGAAAGTTGCTGCTTTGCTGTATACATCAGATGTATCATTATTTTTTCCTGAATTGCCAAAAAGTAATATAAAATCTCAAAATCCCTAAATTCAGAATAGTAACAACAATAAAACCAGCTGAGGGAATAAAAACATGAAAAAAGTGTGGATTTTTATGTGCACAATATGCCTACATGTACACACACACACACAAAAAACACTGGAAAATGTACAATGAAATATGCTGTGTGTAATCAAAATTTTATGAAAGTCTTGTTTGCAAGGCAATGCATTTTAAAGGCCTTTTATTCTGCACTCATGTACTTGTCAAACCTAGTCACTGCTGATCAGCGGAAGGGGAATTGAAGAAAGGCGTGGGTGGGCCAGAGAGACAAATATCATCTGGATATTTGCAAATCCAACAGCAAACCATTTGAAGTTTGTCAACATGGTTGTTTATTTGACATGACCTTTCCGAGTGTAACAAGACTTCATAATATCCATTTGCAGCTTGAATCGTTCGGTCAACCTCCCCTGTCAGATGCAGGTACTGAAACAGAAATATGATACATTTAGTTGTAATCATCCACCATCTCCACTCTCCCCATATGTCAGAGAAATAAGTAGAACTATGAAGGAAATGGGTGACTGTATTTTCCCAT